TATTGGACTTACTCATCAGGTGTACAGAAGCATCACTCCAAATGAATGCTAATGTTGCTCATATGTTCAGCTTGTTATTTTGCCCTAAAGTGGTCAAGGAATGAATCAATGCAACTTGAACATACAGTGAGTGTAAGTAAGCTTGAAGCAATAAAGGAACTTTTAAAATAGAAAATGAAAAGTAAAACCTCAAAGTAGCCTCTGAATCAGAGCTGGGTTGCAACAGATGAGGTCCCTTCACCTCTCCTGTTCAACCCATCCCACTAATGGCTTTTCCATCTGTGCCACTTCTCTTACTGGACAAGCAAAGACTCAGGAAGCCCCCCTCCTCCCTAGAGTGTGCCAAAACAAGGCACACATGTTAGAAACCTCTTCTTCTCTGCAGTCGAATGGTGATTTTTTGTCTGTCTGCAAACAGACACGTGAGGACCGAACTGATCTGAGCACTAAACAGGAAATTAATTAAGGGAGATTAAATGGATGGGAGAGGTATGAGGAGGGGGAGGCAGGGAGCTGGCACGTGAGCCAACCAAGGAACAAGTTGAGTCTCTCATGTGTTGACTTTGAAACATACTCAAAAAATCGTTTTTCTTTTTTCAGATTTTTAAATAAACTTTCCTGTATGTAGTGAAACTGGGGAGTGAAACTGTGAGTGGGAAAATGTTCTGCAGTATGTTCTGTTTATCTGACATTAAATGCACAGTATGTAACTTCTGCTGCTAGGGGTCTCTCACTCAAAACTTTTGTTTGTTTTTTTTTTTGACATCGTGAAGTAGCGTGGAATCATGGGAGTCGTTGTCTTCACCACCATTGCTGTCAGCTTCTCCCGGTTTGGATTCGTTTAGGGTTAGGGTTAGATGCATGCACATAGGGGATATGACATCATTGACAGGCGACCAAATGAAACGGACAGTTACCATGATTAAAATCACGGCTGAAAATTGATGAAAACGTTCGGGATAATGTAAGAACACAACTGAAAAATAGGCAACATAGGTCTAGTGGATTTTAAACATTTTAATGTGGAAAAGATACATATTATAACTTTAAGTCTTGATATTTGAACACAGACATGTTCATAGCAATGCCTCAGTGCCTCAGTGTCCTGTTTGGTTGAATGTTTCGTCAGTCTGCATTTATTTGCTTCTGTGACTGCCACTGAGTCATGTACTATATATCCAGTAAACCCAGACAAGGTCACCATCCCCACTTTTCCAGTCATTATCATGTTCCATGATTTCACCCTGTATACAGTTTTATATCCTCTGCAGTCCAGACCGTGTTGCCTCTAACCAGAATGATTAATGTGGTTATCTTTGGGAGAAAATAGCAGAGGTTAGAAAGACTGATGATTGGTAGTTTTCACTCTGGTAGCATCTGCCATTTCCCTGGAGGTAAATGCCAATTTAGGAAACCCTCCTTTCTCATTATTTGATGTCTAGCTTCTTCTTGGCTGTGTATGAGAGGAGTTTGTAGCAGTCCATCTGTTGAGCAAAGCACACCGTGCCACCCCCCCCCCCCCCCCCACCCCCCCCCCCCCCCCCCCCCCCCCCCCCCCAACCGCCCCCCCCCCCCCCCCCCCCCCCCCCCCCCCCCCACCCCCCCCCCGCATTCCCCCCAAGCCAGGACTCAGCCATCCCTCCCCTCAGCCTACACTGTCACGTAGCACAAGAATGTGGGTTAGGTCTATGGGAGAAGAACATGTTTATTTAATCCCTGCAAAAAGTCTGAGAATAAAGGCTTGGGGTTTTTTTTTTTTTGACAGCATACAGACTGAGTCTGTCTTCTTAGATGCTCAGATAACTCTCTTCTATGCTTATTGGTAAAGCACTCATTCTTGATTAGACTATCAAAGTCACAGTTCAAGATGGAAACTTGATGGAATTGATCAACGTACCTAATCAGAAACACAGACACTGAAATCCTCCATGTGTCTCTAGTGGACTGATGCTGACATATTATACATATTTACATTACAGAAACACCTTAGCCATGTGCATCACAGGGTGTAGGGAGAATGCCCTGAGTAATTCAGAGGCCCAGGCAGGGGCCTATTTAAGCAGATAGTCCACCATATGTGACCAAAAAAAATCCATGCTAACACGACAACTTGTAGCAGCTAAACCAGTAAATGCCAATAAATGTACATTTTATTATGGTGATGGCTGGAATTTACCTCCCTTGTCACATGAAGTGGAGGAGGTGGGTTTTTTTGAACAATTAAAGTAGCATCAGTTTGATTTTTATTGGAGCAGCAGAACTAGTTGTAGTCACAACATATGGCTTTATAAAGTTGTTATACTGAATGTGTTAGCAAATTGTTGCCTATACACATCTATCAGACAGGGAGCAAGTGTTTCTGGCCGTTTGACAAATGTAATCCAATATTCACTCTCCTTTTAGCTCTGTTCTGGCCTCCACCAACTGCTGTTAGTTAGTTAAATATCTGTCTCTTTAGCTGCTAAATGCTTCACTATGTTCACAAACTTTGTCTTCGCTGAAAATGAGCTCAAAGCAATGCAACTTAAGAAAACACAGGCAAATAGACAAAACACAAGCAACTTCAGAAAACGTCTTCATCAATTTGACGACACATGCGCTGCAGATACTCACAACACAACGGACGTGTTTCCTGGGGGACAGTAAAAAGTGATGAACCTGGCTGGGACGCACTTCGTTCAATGCTTTTAACTTCAAAAGTCACAATTGGGCATTGAACAATAAGTGCGTCCCAGCTGGGTTCATCACTTTTTTCTTTTTAAGTTATTTTTTGCTTTAATTACGATAGTGAGAGTGAGAGAGAGAGAGACAGGAAAGTCAGGGAGAGAGAGAGAGAGGATAAGATGCAGCAAAGGGCCACTGGTTGGACTTGAAGCCGAGTCGCCGCTGTTTGGATTACGCCTTCATAGTATGCACTCTACCGTTTGTGTCCACTGGAAACATTTCCGTTGTGTTGTGAGTATTTGCAGCGCATGTGTTGTTTTTCTGAAGTTGTTTGTGTTTTGTCTGTTTGCATGTGTTTTCTTAAGACGCAGTGTGTTGAGCCCTCAGGGCCTGATGAAAACTGATGGCCGTAAAAACCCAAACTATGGGCTGAAACACAGTAAGAAAGCTGTTGATCTAAATGTAATCAATCACGAATCATCAATCAATCAATCAGTCATTTGGTTGGATATGTATGTACGTCGATAAGTGTGTACAAAGTGGTGGAGAAGAGAAAGTAAGAAATCATCTTGGTGTTTTCGTAACTGCCGCTGCAGTTACTGGACCAATCAGAGAACCCTGTGTAACTTGTGGTCCCTTAGGAGGAGCATGGGGTGGGAGGGTTACAAGAAGAGATTTTGAGGGGTACTGCTTGTTGAGAATTCTCTGTGTGCTCATCGCTATGACTGAAACCTTTACCATTAAACATTTCATCCGTTGTTGGAAAAATATTGATTGGTGCAGCTTTAAGTCTTTACAGAGCATTAGTCAAATAGCCACGGGTGTGTCTGTTTATGTGACTATGTGAGTTATACACTTACCACTGCACTAATATTTTTTATGATCATCCTGTATATTTAAAGCCATTTGCCAATTTCAACATTCCTGACTATGGAGCCTCCCAGTAGTAATATCCAGAAAGACATGAAAGGCAGCATTGGACATGTATAGACTGAGCCATTTTTTTTCTTTTGGTGATTATCTAATTTTTCCTCCAACAAAAATGTGAAGATGTCATATTCTGCACACGTAGGGTTTTTCCAACAGCCCAGGTTGGTGTGCTTTAGCTGTGCCGCGCCAAGCCGTGATGACGTGCGCAGCTGGTCTCCTCTGTCCTCAGCAGCTGAACAGTGCTGGAGACTAGAGAGAGAGATCTGTTTGTGAAGCTTCTGTGTTCAGCTCTCAGGACTTGTGTAACTTCTACCTGAATATCTGTACTGTCGGTGTTTAGCTTCACTCCAATACTGTCAGATATCAGCCGTATTTTACTGTTCACTGATCAATTTCAGCCACTGGTGAACCCAGAGGATACTTCTGTTGTCAAGACGTCAGTAGAGCTCGTTGTTGGTACAGGTAAACTACTTTTTCTTGCTGTGAGCTGCAGCGGAAAAACCCTTGGCCCAAGCCAGGGCAGGTCGACTGATTGCCACCCTTCATGGCAACTAGACCCCACACTGAGGAAAAACCCTAATAATGGCTTGAGGTAGTCATCATTCATCACCTAGAATAGTCTATGTTAATGGAACACAAGCATGCAATCTACTTGGACTCATAAGGGTGAAACCTTCAAGGACACCAACACAAAACAACTTGTGTTCTGTCTCAGTAGTGTGGAGCCTGTCCTGCTCGAGCCTGTGGTTGATGATGATGTAGACATGAGGCGCTTGGAAAGAAAACGCAGCGTCTTAATTATCTCCAACTGCATGTCTGCTCACAGTGCTGTTTTTGAGCATTTTTCTTCTTTATTGGCTGCTTTCCAGCAAGACACTAAAATGTGTTGCACATATTACCGTGGAAACCCTTTGATACCTTTGGCTTTTAAGGCCAAAAACAGTTGCAGTGCAGTCAGTCACGGTGTTTAGCATTAATAAGGTGATTCACTGTAAAAATGTTTGAGCAATCTGGAGAAGATTTACAAGCAGCGCGCAGAGAGCTGAGCAGCTGTGGTTACAGCCTGGATTGGGGGGGGGTTAAACGTCTTTGATTGCATGTTATGTAACACAGGAAGTGCTCAACAGATGTGATGTGTAGCATGTCTCCATCACATGGAGGTTCACTAAACTTACGCAGAGCTGATGTACTGTATTCTCACATGAACATACACTATGTCAGTTGCCTAGAAGCAGACCAAATGATTATTTAAATACTTTAAATGTTTGGCAGTTGTTACACAAAAACACAAGGGCATAGTTTCCATGACAACTTACATGCCCGCAAGAGCAACAGGCATCATTTGTTCCCAGGCCTTCGCGCTGTTTCTTGACCTATGTGCACATTTCTCTATATGTTGTCCACAGAACCTTGATATTCAAGTGGAGGACGCGCGCATCCGACCAATTCTGTCATCGTACCGTAAGCGGATCCCTGTAACCGAGGGCTACGTGGAGGTCAAGGATGGTGGTAAATGGAAGCAGATCTGTAACACTGAGTGGACCCAGTTCAACAGCAGAGTCATCTGTGGCATGTTTGGCTTCCCCGGGGAGAGGAAGTACAATGCCAGAGTCTACAAGTGAGTATTCCACTATAGTACAATATGTGTGGTCCTGGGTAACTCAAAGAGGAGGGTGGGATTTAGGGTTTGGAACAATGTGGCCACCGAATGAATGCCGTGACTCAGTGGGTGTATTGTTGGATAATAACAAAATCCAGCTCTGTGCAGATGGTCATCACTTTACCACACCCACAAATTGGTAATTACGTGTTAACCAGACACCCTCAGCCCAACATAAATACAAAAACATGAATGTATATATGATTTGGATTTGGCTTCAATGCAAGTTTCTTGACGAGGTGACAAACACTCACATCCCTGCAGGAAAGTGCATCAAAACGAGGAGATATCTGGCTGCACTGACACTGATGAAACTGTCAGTGGCTCCAGAGATGTCATTTATTTTCTACACCACCTTAAACAGAGGCTACGTTCTTTTCATATTTATGTGTGATCTCGTATGTTGCAGGATACTAGTCTCAGGATCCAGCTCCAAAAATGCTAGACCCTACTCTTTCAAACTCCACTCCCCCAGTCCTGTTTAACTCCAATGACATCATCAGGGTTATTCCTCAGGCTTTGGAAAGCTCCTGCCAGCACCCCAATTCTCCAGAGTAAACAGATTTTTATATGTAAAATCGGTGGGCCACACCTTTAAGAATATACACCTAGTATTCAAACTAAACCACCTAAAAAGCACAGTTGCTAAAACTAGATTTCGACTCAGGGTCCTTCTACAACAGTAATGCTTTTTGGTTTGTAACTAGTTCAGCAAAAAGGTCTGAAACACCTGGATATTCACAAGAGAGAAAGCAACAACCCTGAGTCTGGAAAGCACTGCTCTACAAGTCAGGCGTCAGAATGATGTAATGATGCTTCTTATTTATTTTGATACTGTGCTGCAGTGGTGCATATTCCAAATTTAGAAACCAAATTTTCAAGTAATTTATTTTTTCTACAACTCCACTGAAACATGGTGAACCTGGAGCTCCTGCGCGCTCTGGGGGTCGGATGTCTGCTTCGCTGTGGTTGGCCTGCCTTGTGAGGAAAATCTCATGTCAGTTCACTGAAACTAAACATTTCACCTGACGTGAACTCTGAGGAGGGATGTCAAGTTTCACGGTGGAAATGATTTGACTATGTGCTGGGTTACATTTCCAACCTCAACCTGACACTCAAAACTTAAAACTTCTTAGTCAGCTCATCAGGGCCCTGAACTAAATTAGCTATATATTTTTAACCCCTTGACCACTCACTACTCTGCCATCAGGATGCTAAGCACTAGAACTTCCACTGACTTTTTGTAATATTAAGATGTTGAATAGATATAAACATGTAATAGATATGTATTGACTCTCATTTCTATGGTCAAAAGAGACCATTTCGTAAAAATACCTGGATTCAATTCACAGTGAAGTGTACAGCTGAACCCTTGAAGACTGAGATTTAAGCAAAGGTCCAACAATCACAAATTTACAAAATTTAGCAAGACTCCTTCCAATGTGTGCGTTACATGTTTGACATCATATATCCTTATACACTGAAGCCCAGCCTGACTCTTGTATATCCAACATCAGTGCATTCCACAAAGCTGTGGTAATGTGTGGCTGAGGGAGCTAAATCTTGCTTACACGAAGAAGCTTGCAGCCAAGCGGCCACAGGTTAATCGCAGCGTGCCATAAAACTTCCAGCACTCGAGTTAACCTTGAATTTACTGTCTGCCTGGGCTGGAAGTTTCCTCCGCTTTAGGTAACCACAGCAGAGCGTGACGGCTCCTTAACTTTCCATCTACGTGTCAGCCTGCTCCTGCTTCAGGCCCATGAAACGTGCAGTGTGTTTTTACAGGCTGTCCATTAAAACGGCTGAGGACACAGCGCCAAGGGCTGCCGCAGTTTCATAATCTTGATTATGGTGCCTCTGTGTAGCTTCTGGTTTAGCTTTAACCGGACTCACTTTAAGGACGTCGTATTTAAATTGAATGTATTTATGAAATATGGAAGTGAAGAATTCATGGCTCGTTTTCTAAATTGAAGATTTTATATTTCGTTCCACAAACTTACAATTATTCATTGTTTTAACCCAGAATATTATCTAAGGACGATGAACTGGGAAGCAGGCAGTGAAGAGCAGAGGGTTGATGGCGGTATGATTGGTTGGCAGGCAGGTGATGATCCTGGGCCACAGGGAGACAAAGATTAACTTCGAGAAAGGAACAAATCTTAGATTACACAATTACAAAGGATTACACTGTTACAAAAGAGGCCCGTTAACGTGCACTAACCATCTTGTGATGAGGTGATGAAGAACTGGGGCTGATCAGCGATCAGGGAACTGGGAGAGAGAGAGGGGCACCTTGCCACCAACATAGACACACACACATACACAGAGAGAGAAAGAAGAGCTCAGGAGACACAGGGGAAAGGAAATGCTGGAAACACAAGGAATAAACAGTGATACTAAAACAGTTTTTAAATAGTAAAACTGATGCTGACAATAGGGATGATAATATGGTCTAATTTAAATACTAATAACCTGCATATTGTGTTGAAATACACATCAGTGACACTAACACCAATATGTGGTTTTTAAAGTAGGTTTCCAGTACTGCACTGTTACTGCTGGGAGAGTTGGTGTACTACCTCTTAGCTTCTGTATTTAACATGCATAGAAAAAGACAGTAAGACAATGCAGGTTAATTAAAAGGGAAGCTACATTTTGGAGGGATTTACATTCCATCAAGAGTTAACCCAGAACACAGTGACTGCAGTTCGTTGCAGAAATCCTGTCCTCACTGTAAAGCCACAGTGAGACCAGTTTATACCTGAATGTAGACTTAGCGGTGGCTAACGTTTCCAAGCTAGCAAAAAGAGGACACAACAAGAGAAGTTACTGGAAGCTGTATCCCTCCTCTTTTGATGGAGGCTAGCTCGATACTTTAAGAACATTGTGTGAACATTTTCAATGCACAACTTTTGCTTGTGATGTAGTACTTTTTATATCACAGTACTGCAACTTTCAGGATCTAAATACTTCCTGCCAATGTGTAGCATTGTTATCTAATGTTATGTTTGTCTCACAGTCTCCTTCTGGAAGTGTTTCTGCCTCCAGCTCCTACCATCAGTGTTATCATCATTTTTACTTGTTTCCTTCATATCTGTAGTTGTGTGAGCTGTGTGAGTTGTGCAGTTATGGAACATCAACAGGCGAGACATCTGTTCCCCGTGTGTCTCCTTCAGGCAGCTCTCCCGCCTCAGGCTTGCTGCAGATTTAACAGGATACTTGCTGTATGTTGCCTGTGGGGAGGCATTGCCTTAAAGACTAAAGTCAGGGAACAAAAATCTCCTACGCACAGTAAACACCACAGATTAGCCGGCTGTACTGTAACACAATTGCCTGCAGTCTGCAAAATGTGCACTGATGTGTATCTGTAGCTAGGTTTATGTAGGTATTTGGTAAATCCCTCTGACCAGAGGTGGGTACGGACTGTATGCCTCCATTTACGCACCATCACACCTCTGATTTTCCCTGACACAAAATTGATAAAACCCTCCAAACAATCTCCCAGTAACACAGGGAAACAAGTCGACCCCCACAGTGTCAACATAATAGAGGATTCCTGAATTAGTAAGTGAATTTCAAATTGTAATTCCTTGCGTTATTCATTACTGAAAAAAGTACTAACTGCTCCACACTTGTTCTTAGTATGGGTCAAGTTCCAAAAACCACCCGTAAGACAGCTCTATAGTGTTTTAAACTCCAAGACCAGAGTTTGTAACCCAAGTTGAGATGATCCATGTAAAGACACTTGAGTTATGTTCTCAGACTTGACAAAGCTCCCTCAGAGCCACAAAAGACATTATACAACTGTTTTCAAAGGCTGTGTTGAAGTTACCGTGGCGAATACATAAATTGACATCGATGTGTAAAATCAATGTTCCCTTTTATTTAAAGGCCCACATTGATGTGTATTATCATCCATTTTAAATAAAAGGTTAAAAGTGTATAGTGACATTCAAGTGAATCAACGATGGGTTAAGAGATTTTGATGAGAAGACGTCTCTCACAGCCTCAGGACCACCAGTTTGTTCAGTCACCGCGCCATGTGAACGGTCCTGATATGCATCACGGCTGTGTTCAGATTGCAGAGGAGATAGCAGAGCCAGTCCTCTGGCTGTGGTTTAGAACATTGGGCCTTGGATAGCTTCCAGTCTGCAGCTTCCCACTCGCCAGCTCCCAAATGAAAAGCAAATGCTGCCTGTCCTGTTTTAATCCCTTTTTTTTTTTTTTTTGTACGTACAAGAGATTAGCGTCCCAGCAGGCCTGAAAGAGTGTCATTAACCCCAGTTTGTTCAAGTTCATATGGAAGATAATGAACTCTCCAGCTGTTGGTTAACCTTTTGCTTTCGGTATTAATTATCAGAGGAAGATAGCAAGAGCCAGTCCTCTGGCTGTGTTTAGAACATTGGCCTTGGATTAGCTTCCAGTCCTGCAAGCTTCCCACTCGCCAGCTCCCAAATGAAAAGCAAATGCTGCCGTCCTGTTTTAATCCCTTTTTTTTTTT